ATACAAAAACTAAAAAAGAAAAAGAAAAAAAAAAGTGAAAAAAAAAAAAAAAAAATAATAAAAATAATAATAAAACAAAAAAAAAAAAAAAAACAAAAAAAAAAAAGCCGCAAAATTTTATTTTCACGAATCTTCTCATAAAGGATCCTTTCTTCTAAAGTGTTCAATGAAGCCAAATCTTGGAAGTCGGAAGTCCACGAAAATGATATCGTAAATAGTGATTCCCGAATCTTTACTTTTTGTTCTTGAATTACCCACCGTAACAGTAATCAACCGTTACCGATTAATGAAACGGTAAAAGTCGATTTATCTAGGCTGAGTGAGATACCATGGCATTTATACACAATCGCAATCGAATACAACATGGAAAGAAAAAATTTTCTCCAATCTTTTCTTTTCATTGCATGTACACAGCATATTTAATTGATCCAATTATCAATGCATTTCAAAGTTATCAACGCCGACTTCAACAGTCATCTCTTGAGATAAAATTTTTTTTAATGGCTGAAGTTTCCAAATCAATTCAAAATCTAGCTATAAATCTATAAAAATCCAGGGATCTGATGTAGTTCTATCACACAACATTGCCCCATGGTTTTTTTTTAGATTCATTAAGATGATGCTAGATTTGTCTTGAATGTATCACCAGACTATATCCGTTTTTATCACATTGATTTGTTAACCAAAATGGCTCTTTTATACCGATATTAAGTGCGAATATCCGTACGTACCGTATGTACTTACAATGTAATGCTTGGTGTATGTCCACATGGTTTTGTAATCGTAGCCCAATGTAGTATTATAACACATGTTGTTTGTCCATGATTGTCAGTCTTTATGAAAATTTAAAGAGGTGCTAAATCGTCGTCTTGTCCCTTGTCTCGCGAGAAAAGATATTCTTGAACAATAATTATCAAGATTATTTGTTTGATGTTACGACCTCCTCCTTCTGAGATTCTTCATGAAATTTTTAAACATTTTGAGAATGAACCTGATTATTTACATTCATGTATTTTAGTCAACCGCGCTTGGTGCGCGAATGCTATGCAATTATTATGGAACAAACCTTTCCATCTTTTACCTAACAAAAATCTTGATTCTTCTCATCACCTCATTTCAACTTATTTATCCTGTTTAAGTCCAGATGAAAGACATAGTCTTGATTTGCTTGCTTTTCCGCCACCTTCCACCCTCTCTTCTTCTTTTTCTTTCATCACATCCAAAAGTTATTCACCGGCAACTTTTAGTTATCCCTCATTCTTGAGACATCTTGCTTATTTTCCTTTAGCTGCTTCAGTCCAAGAATGGTGTGTTGTTAATAATCTAAATACTTCCGATAATAATCCTATAATGCAAAAAATTATACACGCATTATTTCGATTATTTGCTAAAAATACAAATAATTTAGATATCTACAGTATATATCTCTTAAACTGTAGACAATTCCAGACAAATTTGCC